AAGGAAATACTTAATGAAGAAATATATTTTTTAATATTTCTAAATAAATAAAAATATTTTGTCTATAATTTTACAAAAAAATAATGATAACTCGTTATTGAATGTTTTTGATTGCAAACATTATATGCAGATATATAATATATGTAACATCTATACATAACGTTCGTCGATCAACGTGTACGCATGCGTATACTATATGTAGTCACACGGCCAATCGTGACGTCACGCGACACCCGATAACACTTTTGTTGTCGTCGGTCTGTCGTCGTCGTACATATGCGTGACACTCAGTTCAGTTTCGGACACCGACTGAATCTCGTATGAAACATATATTCTATGTTATCAATTATTCTAATTTTTTACAACGAAAATTTTATACGAAATAAATTTTTTTCGTGATCTTCAAGTGATTGCAAATATTCTTGATATTTTGGTGTTTTTTTTTTTTAAATCATGTCACACGAAGGAATGTGGAAAGTGTACTAAGTTTAATACGCCTGATTACAGTTTTGCATAGTTCGAAAGTGAGTTCCAACTATAAATTTACAATATTATTAAACTGTATTGCTTTTTTTTTTTGATATATCATAAAGATTGTGTATTTATTATTATTGCATACTGAAAATATCGCTATTATGATTTAAAAAAATTTTATTGTGGAATTATTAGTTATCAGTTTTATTATGAATATTCAAAATAATATGTAAGTTACATTCTTATATAGCAATAAAATGAAATTTTACGTATAAAAATGATAAAAACGATCTAGAAGTTTTGTTCCAATTTTAAATCTTTATTAGCATTTAATGAATACATTTCATATGTTAGCAATCGATAAATGTAAAAAAGTATAAAATACATAAAAAATTATAAAATATATTTTTAGCGTATTCCCTTGAACAAATTAACTAATTAAAATTTAGAAGATTATTAAGTAATTACTAACTAATTCTTATTTGTGTAATAAAATTACATCATATCTCATAGGAGTGGAAAAATACTCATCAAAGAAAATATATTTTGTAATTATTTTATTTATGGAAAAAACAGACACGTGTGCTCGTTTAAACTATAGTGATCTATTGTGAGAAAAAAATAAAGTGAACGATGATAATCTTAACAATTCACGCAAACGAGCCAAAGCGGACGATAAGTATCATGTACATCAATGATGTTTAATGATTAAATGATTAAGTATTGATGTACACTCTCTGGTTCAGTGTTCGCGTTTATTTATAAATGTGTAAAAGTGTTCGGTGATTTCTTTTTAACCGCATTCCTTTCAAGGCCTCTGCAGGGAATAGATATAGGCAGCAATAGTGTCTGACCCGACCGTCCCTATACACCGCTTTCTACTTTGAACGGTTCAATATGGAGGTTCTCTTCATATCTCTGCTCTGTTTATACATTGTATTTTTGTCCTTTATCTTCAAAACTTTGATAACAATCGAAGAAATTCCGTTACTAAAAACGGTTTTGATAATTCTTTTAAAGTTATTATGCTTCTATAAAAAAAGATAGAATAAAAGCAAATTGAATAGAATAAAAGATAGAATCAAAGAAAATTGAAATAATATGATTGAGAGGAAGCAGTGATTCTCAAAAGATTAAGTATATCGAATGTTTTAAAATGATGCGTTTAAATAGATCTAATTCCGGTCGAGGTCAAAGCTCCGTTTAATTGCCAAACACTGTATTAGTCTGATGAAAATTAAAGCATAGTTTTAAAAATAGCTTACTTTTTAAAATGATTTTTATTAAGATTGGATTATATCTAATAAAATTGGAAATTAGAAATTAATGCTTGATCTTTAAAATTAATCTTTAAATATTTTGATTGAAATTTGTGACATTAGAAATTAATGAATTGAATTTTAATTGCATACATCTTCTCATATACTTTAGATTTTTATAGATTCATATTATATTTTTATAAACATATGTTAATTTAATTAACTTAATAATTAACTCATAATTAGGAAATTTTATTATTTCAATTTAATTTATTGATACTTATGTTGTTTTAAATAATTATATCGAAAAAAATGTAGAAGAAGGGGGAAAAAAAATACGATGTGTGAGAAAATAGAGAAGAATGTATACATATATGCAAGTAAATTTACAGGTAAGAGAAGAGAGAGGATGAGGCACACGAGTCAGCAACTTTATAACAGACTTTACAGGTTAGGTAACGTGTATCCATGGTGGTTTTTTTTCTTTACAGAGAAAGTTAGCTTAGGTGTACTTAGAGCGTAAAATCGTGTTTCTGTATAGCATTAGTCCTTTTCATTTTCTGTAAAGACTTAATTAAATAATCTTTAAGTAATTATTAAATATTATTTATATTTAATTCTCGTATTCATATTAGATGCTATTAGAAATCGTCAAGGAATTTTTTTTTATGATGAGAAATCGTGAAAATAATTTTTTAATTTATAAGGCAATAAAAAATTCAATTGATTTTGTTGTAATAAATGTTCTTTTAATTATCATTTAGTAATGAAATAATAAGATCGTTATTATATATTTATTATAATTAATAAGTGTCACGCAATACAAAATGTATAATTTTTCACGATCAAGATTGCCGGAAATTCCTCTATCGACAATATAACGGCCATCTTATTAATCCACGAAAGTATCAGAGGAGCCATCTATTGGTTGAACAAGTAATTTTCGGAATTATTTCTGTGAACGTATGATTCAAGTAGTCAGTCGCGGAAATCTCTTGAAAACAGATTCATCGTTCTATTAAAGAGATTAAGTGAAAAATCACAAATATTTTGTAAAAAAGTACAATATTCAGTACTTAATTAATGAAATAAATACATCAGTATTAATTATTAAGTACATTTATTTTAAAATATAATTTTAATTATATTTCTTTTATATACAATATCTTTATATGATTTATATATTATTTCAATGAATAAGGAAATTAAAATCAATTATATGTTTTTTATTAATGTGCAAAATCGATTTACAATTTTTTTATATTTTGTTTTGATTATTTAAATTTTTAAAATAAAAAAGAATATACAAAATATTTTCTACAAATATAAAAATACTTAAGTATTATATCTATATTACATTATGAAATTTTCTTGAATCTTTACATTTTTACTTCAAATTCATTCATATTGGAAATTTCAATTATTTGTGTTTAAAGAAACTCGTTACTTTGATATATATATATAAAAAATATATACTCTATAAATAGTATATTACGCACTCTTAATCGCTTACGCATGCTTGAAGTTTACACGATCATTGACATCTTGTGAACTTTTATACAAATTCAATTTAAATTTAGATATACAAAATAATTAAACAAATAGTTATTTCTGATATTCTTTTTATCAACAAAATATCATCAGAAAATAACTAAATATGTTCCAAAGAAAACATGTGCATATAAATCTATTAAATCTTTTTTGCAATTATGTATTAGATAGATATTAATTGTATAGAATCGAATGTTACGAAGCGATTAAATTATTCTCTTGTTTTTTTTTTTTTTTTTTT